CGTGTCATGTTGCATAAAGCAACGTTACTCAAAGGCACGTCGACGTTTCTCAAAGATAATGTTTAAATCTAAAACGCCCAGTTGTTATACAGAACATTATAAGAGGACAGCGGAAAACATTGGTAGTATCTTGTATCAATTAAATTGAAAAATGTTATAAATATTAAAGTACTAAATAAAAATTAAATTTTCTACCATTATTATCCTCCTAAAATCCGACATAATTTAAAATGACATTAATGTAATTTTTAATAAACTTTTAATTATTTAAATCGGAAGACATATTTCGATACTAATAAAAAATTTTAATGAAATCCCAATAAAGAAATATAATTATCGATAACATCAAAAGCCTTTCGTAACTTTCTCTCGAAGTATATGTCACACCTTATTAGCATCGCTAAAGAAACAAGCCCGATTAGAAAAAAATCAGCACAGCTTAATTATTTTATTGGACGGATAGAGACTTTAACTCGATGCCGATCGGCTGTTTCTCGAAGTAGGTATACAGATTTCTTCGTCCGGCACGCGCAAGCACGCGAATGATAGCCAAGAACGGCGCGATGCGGCCATTGTTTAGTACGTGCAGCATTGCACCGCGAGCAGTTTCACAATCAAGCGTGGAATCATGACGACATTATATTCATAAGACCGCGGCGACTTGCACGAAAGTGCACACGTATTCCCGCGGTGTCGACGTCGCAGAAAAGAAATCGTCGCGTTCTTAAGAGACGAGGTTGATTATCGTTCGTTCGTTCGAATCTTCAATCAGTTTTTTTTCAATAGGCAAGTAGTTCGAGAGATACCTCACTCTCTCTAAATTAAGAAAAGACTAGTGAAGAATTATTATGCTTATTAAATTTGCACCTTTCACAGCTGCATTACATTGCGAAAGAACTATGAATAGGATAATAACTCCCGTATTTTTACGTGAGATTGTTTAGTAATCAATAACTTTCAATTCTGTTCACAATGTATGGTGAACATAAATTATCACGAAAGGTTCAAAAATTAGATATGTTTTCGTCAAGAAGATATTAATCATTAATTTGAGATATTATCTAGAGGTTTTTTAATTAAGCAATTTTCAATTATATACAAAAATATAAAGATCTACGTAACATATTTAAACATTTTTTTGTAATAATATAAATAAATTTAAAACGTCAATTATATATAAATGAAATATGAACAAAAGTGTTAATTATAATTCACTTAATCGCGGAAATACTTTCCTAATAGTGATCAGGATTCTGAAAAAAATGATTAACGAGTTTACCTAATTTCACCAGACACTAATGAAGATTGAATAGTTTTGGCACGAATTTAAATAAGAAGGAAGTAGAACTATTTATAAAGTATAAACTATTTATAAAGCGAGAAGAATTTTAATTTGCATTCAAGTATTTTTGCACCTGTTCATCTCTGTTTCCGAGAACAATTCTCGTACTCAACGACCGATTGTAAACTATGCAGAAAACAAAGTAGAATTAAGAAGAAAAAAAAACAGAAAATGGCATTTCGGAAGATTAATCAAGTTTATGATCCCAAATCACTATGACTGACAATAAATACTTTCCCAGAATCGTCCGCTTCATAATTTTAATACCGGAGAAATGAATCGAAACCGATAGAACACGGAATGTTAATTAATCTTGATTCAAAATAAAAATGCTGTAGTTTCTACTCATTTTAATATTAGCTTTTACTTTCAGCACCAATGATTACTCTCAATATCAGTTAACAAGCCAAGATCTGTATCATTTTCATATATTTTATGTATTTACAATTAAATAACTATATTTAATCAATATGCATGTAAGTTAAAATATAATTACGCATATATATATTATTAGAAATCTTACTAAACAGTTTTTATAAAATTTAATATAACGCAATTGCTTATACAATTTAAAAAAGTAAACAATTTAAAAAACTATATTTCTGTTGTCTAAGATCAATATTGACACATGAATAAAATTTCGCAATTGTTTCATGAAAATCAAATATCACTCGCTGCTAAAAACAATTATTAGCACAAGTACATTATCATAATGTTCGCATAACTAACTGTCAAGTAAAAGCACTTGCTTATTACAACGCAATTACATTGCTTAAAATATACATACATTGCATATTATACATTGCTTAAAAACTAACGATGAAATATTGCGGGTGTAACGATCGCTGTCCATATAACGACAACGATAAATAATCATTGTGCGATGTGCGATGCAAGACTTATCGGTTTATCGCTACTTTGACAGTCTATTCACCAGTCAAAAGAGCTCACAATTGCAGCTCATACTATTGCAAATAAATTCTGCCTGCAAGTAAATTCTGCCGGACGTTTATTGAATAACCAATAAAACAGATTCGCTGGAATCTGATTTCTATAGGAGAAACGCTACGAAGATAGAGGTAATAAATAATTATTTACGTTTAATGTGTTGAGGATGTGTAGTCGAGGATAATAATTGGATAAACTAGGAAAATATTGACTGCATTTAAGACACTTTACACAGTTCAATTGCGTAAGCTTAAGTGCGCATCGCGGTCGTGCAGTCTGCCAAGTGCGAAATTGCATACACTTTAGCGAGAGATTTTTCAAGAAAGGCAAGACGAAGTTGCACAGTTCAGCAGCGGTGAGCCGATGCAACGGACGTATCGATGGACGCGCAGTGTTTTACAGTGTGTAATACCTACGTCGCGCTTATCTGTCGGGACGACAAAGCGCACTTACAGAGACCACCTATGCTTTACAATCTAGGACCCTCTCGTTAATCCATCGACGCCCGAAGGCAATCAGATCGTGCCCTAAGTTCTTACGGTACTGAGGTCAATGCACGGATGTCGTCGAGCCGTATCGAAGCACAGCTGAAGGAAACGCGTCGAGACAATGGGTAAGAATCGTTAAAGCATGGACGAAAATATTAAGCATTTTTTCAACACAGTGACAAATAATAAATTTAATATCCATAAATTTTAGTTTCGCATAATTTATTTAAAAATATCGCAACGTCTGATATATTCGACATATCCGTCCGATATAATCTGACTTTTTCGTTAAATATTATTTAAAAATATATAATTTGCATTCATAAGATTGCATAATAAATTTTTAAAAAATTTACAAAAAATTGAATTTTTTATAATTAATTTTACACAAAAGCATACCAGTGTATTTACCATTATTTCTCGAGCTTTTTATCATTTCATTTATTCAATAAACAGTACCGTTCCTGACTTTCGGCAAAATGCACCGACTTCTAAAGCGCACTGAGATACAGCATCATTTCTAATACTCCCGCACACTTATCTCGATTAAGAGTCTAAGTGTCACGTATTTCATAGCGCTTGCAACGCGCGATAAGAGCCCGCGAGTAGAAATAGACCACCTATGCGGGATACCGAGACCTCTCGTTATCCGGACCGACGCCGCAGGACGATCTGATGCAGGCGGACATCCACTTCCTGCGCACTAAGATGCTCCCTTTTCTCGCTCAACTCCCGGTCAACCCAGCTTCTCCTTCCCTCGCTCTTCTTCCCGACACTTTCGTAAGACTTTACCTCCTCCTCCTCTTCTGTACCTTCGTCGTTTCGTCTTCGCGATCGCATCCGTGGTGCAGCGCAATCCGTAGATGACTCCTTTGATCTTACATACGTGTGCCTGTGTGTTTCATATTTATATTCTCATCTGCATATTACGAGCGGGGTGTGCCTTAGAAGTGACAGCGGTTAGCTAGTTCGTGTTCCCGGACGCCTCGACGGCTGGAATGCGCTGGATTAGATTGCCGGCGGCGGTAGCGTATCTGTCTCCCGTCCGTTTATCGGGCATGTATTTTTTCTCCCATTGTGACAGTGATTCCCCAAACCACGCTTCGATGGTAACGAACACCGACGTATGACACTGCGGGTGTGCAAATCCGGTAAAGCGGAACGAAAATATCTGTCAGGCTTCGCAAGAACTCTGTCAAATGTCAGAAGACTGACAATGCTGAGTTAGGACATAACACACTGTTCTTTCGATCATCCTCTTCTTCATTCTCTGATCATCCTCTTCTGTCTGCCGTTCATTACATTTTTGCTACTCCTCTCTATCTTTATTATGTATTTCTTTATATATTTAAAAATAATTTTCAGATTTCTATTTCCAATAACAAATAGGAACTTTTTACTAATTTCACAAAATAATTTTATTGTTTTATTCTTAAATATATTTTAAATTATTTTATCATGCACGTTATAAATAATCTTTATATTATTTATATTGATATCTTATTATTATTAAAAATTACTATTAAAATTTGTTATTAACACAAGAATAATATGAGATTCCGACAGAGCACAAAATAAATTTTTAAATAAATATTTCAAAAAATTATAGACTTTACTAGCAAGTATATATTATATAAGACTCTGGATTATAGTTTTTCATTAAATGTTATTCAATGTTTTCATAAAATGTTATTCGATCAAGCAAAGGCGATCAAGCAAACTATAAAGCCTTCATATATAATCATTATCACTCAAATGAATTCTGCTTCTTCGTCCCGGCGATTCCGACCGTAGGCATGCATTCGAATTAATCCGTTTACCATCGTCATCATGAAATATTATGACATTGATTTCCAATGGGCACTAAAGAGTGACATTCGTGCTACCGCTATGCAATTCGAGAGATCTCGTTACTATAAAGAAATATGCGTCTAGAAAAATCATCAAGAATCCATGCTTGCCATATTTGCTCCTGATTGAACACTTGCATATAATTACATTGCAATTTATCGCCGATTTTGCAATCTCCACTATTTTAATCCTTATTTGGATATTTTTCAAAGACAAATCTAAATAACATTTTTTTTCTTAAAGAGAAAAATCATTTACTACATAATATTGTAATAAATATTTCTAGATAAATAATAAAAAAAGTTCAAGATATAATTTTACAAAAAATTTACTGAAAATTTATTTTAGGAAAATTTTAAATAGCATTCAAGTATTAATATTAAAAAAAAATATTAAAAAAATTGAATCTAAATCAAGAATTAATTGTAAAAGAAAGAAAAAAGTGTTTAGAAAAGAAAAGAATTACATTGTGAAAAAATAAATTTAAATTTTAGACAAATTGTCATCAATATCATCTATAGATATTTGTAGATTTAATATCGAAATTAAGAAATTCAATTTTCTGCAGGACAAAAATCTTTAGTACTTTTGTAATCTCGGCGATCGCATACTTCAATTTTCTTCAATAAAAACACACGAGTAATCGAAATTCGCTGTATTTCTCTATGCGGTTTCCCTTCCGCACTTATGAAATCATCATGCAAAAACGTCAATCGAATCCGCTGATGCAATACGTAGTTTCTAGATAGATGGGATTTTGCTGTTAAAGAATTATAAGAGAATGAACACATGATACTCTTACACGCGACCGTTGTAGACCGCAGTTATTTTTCTGACAGACTCGTTGAGCCGGAATGAAATGTTAGCTTCTCCCAAGCGACCGACGACCGAACGATAGATATAATGTTACTAGACAGACGCACTCTGTAAACTGCTGCAAAAATATTCGCTGCTAAAAGAATCTTCGTAACGAGCAACAAAACGTCGACTCGATCTGCATTTTAATTTTCCTAATCTATCTTACGTTTTATCATTGAAATTTTAAGTTATAACATACACTATACTCTGATATATCTAAACTTTACAGATTCTGGCAAATCTGTTTTATTTTATAGTAATTGATTAACTTTTAATAGTGTAGACTATCGTAAATATTGTAATTGTGTACAATAAAATAAAAAAAATAATAGCTGTTCTGTGGAGAAATATATAATATATAATATATAATATACTTTCCTTGTAAAAATTTACTTTACTAGTAAAATTTTTTCTTAAAATTGTCTATTTGTTAAATTTGTCTTTTCTACTTCTATTTTAGTATTAGTCGTCCCAAACATTAGAAAGGTATCGTCGCAGCGTTCAGAAATATCTTCCTTTCGCTGCTTGAACAAAAATGCGACGTGAATGTACTTGAGAGTTCAGCGCGATTTAATCACCAAGGAAGTGAGAGATCGAACGAAAAGAGTCGGAATGTCCCAATCTAAGGATCGTTCCATTTCCGCTATTCCCTTCTCGCGTGCACTGTCGTCAATGAAAATTTCTCTCTCATTATTTCCGAAACGGCCGTAATTACGCGGGAAATCCTCGCGAAAAGATCTCGAAAGGCCGATTGTCTCACAAATTGGTCTTTAATACGTGACTGTCAATCTCGAAAGTTATTTTTCTTTCATTTATTTTCAAGAGGAGAGTATTGTTTACATGTTTCAGACTTTTCCTTTCTCCAAAAAACAAAAAAGAATTTAGTTTTTAGTTTTTAGTATTTAACTTAGAATGCTGTATAATTTATATAATTATATATAAAAATAATTATATTAATATAACATTTTAATTAGATTTATAAATAAAATAGAAAATGAAATTATTAGATTTAAGATTACAAAATGTAATGTTTTAGAGTCGTAAAATTTTTTAATGTAAAATAACAATCATAAATTAAGAAAGCGACTTCAGCAAATTTAACATATAAAATAAAAAAGGAAGAAAATTGCTTCCTTTTACTTGCGGATAAAAAATAGATTAATTACCCGAAACTAACGAATCCACTCACCCACTCAGAACAATCCGTAACTGCTTCCTCAATACTTTCATCGGAGGTTCGTCCCGTCGGCAGAATGGACCGCTTATTAATTACTCGAAATTAACGGGCAAACTTGGAATAGCATCGAACCAATCTCCTAGAATTACCCTCGTCTCCGCCCAGCTAGAAAGTGGCACCTCTCGAACTTTAATAAACGAGATGAGATCTCTGATATCCATGAAACAGCCGGTTGCAAGAAGACGAGGACGAGGAGGAAACGAGAAAGATCCAAGAAAAGGAGAATGGACCAAGCACAAAAAAGTTCAAGAGAACGGGAAATCCTCTTAACCCTTAGCCTTACCTGGCAAAAAGACGATGAAATCTTTTGCCCGCAGATTTAAATAGCTCTCCTGAGATATTGTAGCTATGTATAATAGAAATTGAGAGTGAAGATAAAACTAAATCGAGATTAATCTTCTCGTGCTACAGGATTTCTGAAATTCCTGAAAGATATAGCTATACCTAGTATAATTATTATTATTACTGGACTGTAGAAATTTGTAAATTTAAGTAGTATTACGACTGCTGATTTCTATTGCTTCTAGAAACTTTATTCTATTTTCAACCAAAAATTCAAAGCAACGAAATTTTGTTAAACAAAATATTTTTAACAATTGTGGATAATACGTGGATATTACTTAAAAAAAAACGTGCCACCCAGAAGGAATATCGAGCCATCCGAAAAAAAACCGTTGCCTCTTCCTCGATATTAAAATCCGTGCGCCAAAGCTCTATCGTCGTATTCACGCATATGTACTCGTGTACTCTCGCGACTCCGGCGAGTCACAAGGCGCGCGTGTTTATCAAGCTGCACTTCTTGCCGGCCAAGAACAACCATACAAGTGTCCCGGCGTGCAACTAACGACGGTATCATTAATATAACTTTGCCTGAGCCTAGGACGCAACCGCGTACGAATCGCGGTACGCAACGGGCCGCGCCGCAACGGCAGGAGAGTGATGCATCGCGCGGTGCGAGTCCCGCGCGGTCTTTCCGAGCGTCACAATGTGCCTCCAGTGGATGGGGACATTAATCCTTTGCCGAGTTTTAACGTCCGCTTTCTGCGAGAGCTCTCCGGCAGTAGGCGGTAGCAATGCGAACCGCCCTCGGGAGTCCCGACGTTGGTGGAATCCCCTCGGCGTAAGAGGATACTCAGGAGGATGGCCTCTCGGCGGATAACGCTTTAAGCGTGGCGGACG